GAGAAGGCGACCATCATGTTCGCAAGTGCGCGCGCCTCACTGAGCTTGAACTCAATCGTGTAGTCGTCTGGCGCGTTCACTTCGGACACGTTGGGGAACAGAGTCCTCCTCAGGCTCACAAGGCCTTCCCTGGGGAAGATTATCCTGTCATAGGTAGCCTTAATATCTTCTGAAGTCAGATCGCTGCCGTCGTGGAACTTGACGCCTTCGCGAATGTCGAAGGTGTAGGTTAACTGGTCCTCGGAGATTTCCCATCTGTACGCCAGATCCGGAATGACAGGCACATCGGAAGTGCGCGGGTCGCGGCGCAGCAGCGCGTCGTACATTGGTGACTGTACGCCGTGGTTGGCTATGGTGCCGGAGGCGTACCAGTCGAAGTGAGCGGGAGGGCCGTGTGCGCCAGCACGGAATGTGCCGCCGGACTTCGGAAACGGGTCGAGCGGCCTAACATAGAAGACTTCATCAGTCGGGCTTGGCGTGGCGATCACGACACGCTCGATCGGAACTTCCTTGATTACCTCCTTGGTAACCTCTCTGACCACCTCGACTTCTTTGACGACTTCTACTTCGACTTCCTTGACAACTTCGACTTCCTTAACGACCTCTTTCTGGACCTCAACTTCCTTCACCACCTGTTCAGTGACGACCACGGTCTCGACGACCGTGACGACTTCAGGGTCGGCCGCGCCACAGGCTACCACTGCCAGCATTGTTGCCACAGCACAAATCAGAAGCCATAACGCCGACTTCGGTGTCCTCAAACCTCGCATAACTTTGCCTCCAAATCTAACTGATTACTCGCTTCAATCGCTTATAACTGCTAATACGACAGAATGTTGATTCGTGAATCAAATAACGTCCCCCAAGAATGCCGCCATTTAACCATTACTTGAATTGATAGTCAAGATTGTGAATCGAAATGGAATATCACTAAAATGGATTACCACCGATAATGCCAGTCAATTGAGCATGCCTAAGCATGCCTGCAAACATTCGCAGCCTTCCTTGACATCATCCATCCTGTCAGCCACCATTACATTGCAACGCGCCAGTCCTTTTGTGTTGCCCCGAAGCCTTCAACACGCAACGAACAACGGACGCATATATGCGCACGAATTCTCTTCAGCCCGCCTACCTGCTGCTCGCCGCTCTGTCGTTGCTTGTCTTTGTGACAAGCTGCCAAATTGCAGGTCTCCTTGGTGAATCTGAGTCCGATGCCTCCATCTCAGACCAGAATGGCGATCCTGCCGCCGTAGTCCCCTTCACGAATGTCGCCAACACGGCGCTGGAAGACGGCTTCGGAGTGTGGAACGACAGGCCCGGAGTGGTAATCTTTGACTACGACCGCGACGGCGATATGGACTTCTACGTGACTCAGATGGCCGGTCACGCGAACTGGCTCTACCGCAACAACGGCGACGAAACATTCAGCGATGTCGGCAGCGCCGCCGGAGTCGCACTCGAGAACACGCATAGCACCGGCGCTGTCGCATGCGACATCAACAACGACGGCTTCCAGGACCTCTATGTTGGCGCATGGGGCAATCCGGCAGATGACTTGGGGCTTCAGGTCCCCGCAGCAGGGCAACCTGGACGCGCTGCTCCTCAACATGAAGGACGGCACCTTCGTGGACATCACCAAAGCGGCATTCGGCGACAACGTGAATGCCCGCTCCGCAACAAGCATCGGCTGCGCGGACGTCAACCTGGACGGTTGGCTGGACCTGTTCGTCGGCAATCTCATGGACCAGGACTTTCGTCACTTCGAAGACCTAAACCATCCCGGTCACTATAACAAGCTCTATATGAACAATGGAGACCTGACCTTCGAAGACGTAACCGAATCCGCCGGCGTTCAGGGCCCACAGATACTCATGCGTTATCCTGACAATACCCCCTGTCAGCTATATGAATCCCGAAACCGGGGAGGCCTATGAGGGATACAATCCCCTCACGCTTGACGCACAAGGTAACCGAGCGGGCGAACCAACCGGCCAGACTCACGCCGTGCTCTTCTTCGATTACGACGACGACCTCGACCCCGATCTATGGATTGCCAACGACGCCGACAGGCTGCACCTCTACCGAAATGATTCAGACGCTGCCGGAGTCAGATTCACCCCTATGGCACGTACCTTGGGCATAGACAAGGTCGGCGCGTGGATGGGATTCGCGGTGGGGGACTTCGATGGCGATGTCGATCTCGATGTGTTCGTCCCTAATGTCGGCTTCCACACGCTGATACAACCGCCCCGTCAGGTGCCACGCGGCACCTGCGAATACTTCGGCAGGTTCGCTACGGGCACATGCACGCACTTCCTGCTAAGCAATGGAGGCGGAGGCCGATTCGTCGATGTCGCAGGCTCGACGACAGTGAAGCCCAGCCCCTGGTTCCCTCCAATATCTCTCGATCCGTCAACTATCGATCCGGGTCACCAGATACCGACAGGCATCGCAGCCTACGACTTTGGCTTTGGCGCGACGTTCTTCGACTACGAGAACGACGGCGACCAGGATCTGTACTGGTTCGGCTCCACAATGGGCAGAGGCGGCGGCCCCGATGGTCACATCTTCCCCGCGGCCGGTCGTATGATGCGCGGCGACAATACGGGCGCATTCGAAGACATTACGGTGCGCGCCCGACTTCTGGATATAACCCATGTGAGCTACGACGGGCTGGATGAAGATCAACTGGCGCGCAGAAACCCTGCCGCCTTGCAAGCAAGACGCATCGACCGCCAGAACCACGAGAACGGCAAAGGCCTCGCGCACGGCGACCTTAACAGCGACGGATTCGTTGACCTGATTGCCACAAACAGCAGCGGCGACATCTTCATCCCGTCGTTGCCCGGCGCTCCGCCCACCGCGGCGCCCAGGACTGGCCCCTTGTTCGTCTGGTTGAACGGCAACGACGACAACCACTGGCTGTCGCTTCGCCTGAAAGGACGCATGGCTGTGGATGGCACGGGCAGCAATGCGGACGGAATTGGGGCGCGAGTCTATGTTACGACGCTGCCATCGCCGCATGAGAATCAGCGCGTTCAGGTCCAGGAAGTTCGCGCAGGCTCCAGCTACTTGTCCATGGACAGCATCGACCTGGAGTACGGCCTAGGCAAAGCCGATAAAGCTGAGAAAATCGAGATCATCTGGCCGAGCGGCAGAACTCAAGTCGTTGAAAACGTGGATGCCGACCAGATCATGACAATCACTGAGCCATCGCAATAGGGAACGAGAGTTTCAGAAAGTTTCTGTAATCCAACCAGAGTATATTGACTATTAAACGGTTTAATGCTTTAATAGCCCCGTTATTTTCAGGATTTTCAGTTCACTTATCGGCACTCCCTTTTCAATGCCAAGAAGTTGGCTGACGCGTATTTCAAGGAGGGTTAAAGAATGAAACTCAAGGCCCTAATGCTTATGGGCATGTTAGGTTTGGTAGCGCTATTGGCGGTAGCATGCAGCTCTGCTCCGGAAGAGGCAGTTCCCGCTGCACCTGCGCCCGCACCTGCAACCGCGGCTCCGGCAGCACCCGCTCAAGCGGCAACCACTGCACCTGCGCCCACAACTGCGCCAGCAGCAGCGCCAGCAGAGTCGGGTGGAGGCGGACAGTTGAAAGTCGCAATGCGTACTCTAGGCAATCCGCAGGGACTGCCCGGCCAGGCATCCGGCGGCACGGGCGACACTATACCCGGACTCATCGGCTTGATGGAAAGCCTGACGGAGCGCAAGGCAAAGACCTGCTGTTCTACCCGCATCTTGCAGAGTCCTATGACGTTGCTACGGACCTGTCCAAGATAACGGTCAAACTCCGCGAAGGCGTCCAGTTCCATCACGGTTGGGGCGAGATGGGCGCGGAGGATGTTAAGTGGGGCTTCGGAGACGCCGGTGTCGAAAACGAGGAGTCTGTATTCGGAAATGTAGGCTACCTGCACGAGTACCAAAAGCCTCATGTCGTGGTTGACCAGCACACAGTAGAGTTCCCGCTTAAGAGTTTCACCTCAGAGTTCGAGGGCGCGATAATCGGACTTGTCTTCGTTTACAGCAAGAAGTCCATCGACGATATGGGTCGAGACTGGGCATTCCAGAACCCCATAGGAACGGGTCCCTTCCAGATGGAGAGTTGGACTGCCAATGACGAGTTCGTAGGCAGCACTTTCGCCGACTACTGGGATACCCCTGCCTCCTTCGACGAGCTGAGCGTGAAGGAGATCCCGGAGGACTCCACACGTGTCGCGCTCATCAAGACGGACGCGGTGCATATCATAGACCCGGTGCCGTTTAGCTTCCTTCCCGGTCTTCTCGAGGCGGGACTTCAGCCGAACAGCGACAATCAGGGCGGCGCGACCCAAGCAATCACCTACAGCGGCAACTTCTGGATGTTCGAGTATCCTGAAGGAGACAACAGGGATCGCGACGGTCAGCCTGTGACACCGCGGCCCGGTTACATGCCTGACGAAGACCATCCCTGGATTGGCGATCCTATGGATCCCGCTCGTATGGAGTCGGCGCGGTTAGTGCGCCACGCTCTGTCCAGAGCAATTGACCGCGAGCTTATCGTTGAAGAGGTACTACTAGGCAATGGCTTCCCGGAATACATCAATTTCTTCTCTAGCTCACTGCCGGAGCACAAGGATGAATGGGTAATTCCTTACGACCCCGACGGCGCGGTGGCGATGCTTGAGGAGGCAGGTGTTCCCGTAGAGGAGTTCCCAGCTTTCCAGGTTTATGTGCAGCAGCTCCCGAACGTGAACTTTGAAGTGTTTCGACGCCGTAGCAACGATGTGGATTAACATCGGGCTTGATGTAACTGTGGACAGTACAGCGTATCAGGCGTTCAGGCCTCGCCTCGTCGATCGTGAATGGAACGGACTGACCTCCTGTTGCGCTGGCCCGGCTGCGGCGGTCCCCTCTGCTGATGGATCAGCCAAGGCTGGCGGCGCGTGAAGGCTCCACCATTGGCGAGAGGCGACTGGAACCCCGGCTTCGAGGCTCTTGAAGTAATGACCTATGTGAACGAGGTAGAAGCCAACCCGCTTGACAAGGAGGCGAGAATAGCCGCAAACATCAAGGAAGGCGAATTCTTCTATCATTGGATGCTCTCAACAGGCATAGTCCACGCCGACAACCCCGTCTGGGTCAACCCGGATTTCGTGGAAGGTTGGCAGATGGAGATAACAGGTCTGTTCAATAACCTTGAAACGATCACCCTGAAGCAATAGGCATAAAGCAATAGCGACAAGTGTCTTTCAGGCGCGCTGACAAATGGTGCGTGCCGACACTCACTGAAATCACATATCCCCTCCCTGACATCTGGGGAGGGGATATTATTAAAATTGTCGGTTTAGCCCTTTTCTAAAGTACGAAAAACTATGACGGTATTCCTGCTGCGAAGAATCGGCTATTCACTTGTAACCATCATCCTCGCTTCCGTGATCGTATTCGCCCTTTCGCGAATGTCCGGCGACCCGCGTCTTCTGTACCTGAACGCATTCTCGCATGTGGGACCGGAGGTCTGGGAGGCTTGGGGAAGGAAGCTCGGGCTGGATAAGCCGCTCCCGTTGCAGTATCTCTACTGGCTCAGAGATGTGTTGCTCGGAGACTGGGGCGAGTCAATCGACACCGGCATCCCTGTGTGGACGGCTGTCACCGATAGGCTGCCCCTTACGCTGAAACTCACCGGCGGTGGGTTCATATTCGCCGTGCTTGTCGGCATCCCTCTCGGTGTACTGTCAGGGGTGTACCGGAGCTCATTCTGGGACTATACGGGCAGGACGATGGCTGTTCTGGGACAGTCCGTACCCGCGTTCTGGCTGGCAATCGTTCTGATCCTGATTTTCTCGGTCAAGCTGGAGTTGCTGCCTGCGGCAGGACAGGGCGGGATTTCGCATTACATCATGCCGAGCATCATTCTTGGTTGGTTTGGCTCGGCAGGCTTTCTGCGCCTCACTCGCTCAGCGATGCTAGATGTTATGGACTCCGAATACGTGAAACTGGCAAGAGCCAAGGGAGTGAGCAAGTTCACTCTGGTCTGGAAGCACGCCTTCAGAAATGCCCTGATAGCCCCGCTAACCTATGGTGGTCTGCTGCTTGCAGGCTTCGCCACCGGCACCGTTCTGACGGAGACCATCTACGCACTGCCCGGCCTGGGAAGGCTTGCCCTGCAAGCGGTCTATGCAAACGACTTCCCTGTTCTGCAAGGCTCCGTGCTGTTTTTCGCCGCAATGTATGTAGTCTTCGCTTTTATTCTGGATATGATTTACGCCTTTGTTGACCCGCGCATAAGGTACGAGTAAGAGACCCAGATCAGAGTCAAACATGCAAATGGAACAACAAGAAGCACTGCTGCAAATTGATGAGCCGTCGTTCATATCGAGGGCTTTTGCGAGGTTCCGCAAGTGGCCGTATATTCCCGCATTTATACTGGTTGTCTTGGTCTTCGCGGCAATTGCAGCCCCGCTGATATCACCCTACGACCCTGTGAAAGGCGACCTTAGAGGGCGCAGCAAGCCGCCAATAGGCTTTGGAGGAACGACCGAGCACATCTTTGGCACCGACAATCAGGGGCGGGACATCTTCAGCCGCATAATCCACGGCGCGCGAGTCTCCATGAGTTTTGCCGCCATTACAATGCTGCTTAGTGTCGCTCTCGGCGCGGTGATTGGGGCCGCCTCCGGATACTTCGGCGGGCACATTGACGAGGCGCTGATGCGCCTTGTTGACTTTGCAGAACGCCCTGCCTTTTATCTTAGCAGCTCTTGTGGCGGTTGGAGTGTTCGGCGCAAGTTTCACCACTTTGTTAATTATCATTGCGATATTCTCTTGGGGTACAACTGCGCGCCAAATCAGGGGCGAGATATTACAACTGAAGCAGATGGACTATGTCAATCTCGCCCGTATAGCCGGAGCATCATCCCCTCGCATCATATTCAAGCACCTGCTCCCCGGCGTAACGAACACCCTTATCGTCGTCGCCACTCTGGGAACCGGTCAGATTATCCTCACCGAAGCCACCCTGAGTTTCCTCGGCGTGGGTATCCCGCCGCCCAAGCCCGCCTGGGGCAGTATGGTCTCCTTCGGCAGAAACTACATCGACTCCGCATGGTGGATCGCCGTCATACCCGGGGTGGCAATCGCCCTCGTCGTCGTGTCGCTCAACTTCCTAGGCGACTGGCTGCGCGACTACTTCGACCCGCGCCTGCGTCAACTTTAGGCGTACTCGCGCAAGCGACACAGCTTTATGGCACACTCCAGCCAAGCCGTTCTAGGCATCGATGTCGGCACAACAGCCGTCAAAGCCATGCTTCTTGACGCCGATGGCGCTGTGCTCGCGGAAGCCGAGGTCGAGCAACCCATCGATGTGCCACGCCCCGGCTGGACCGAGCAGCACCCCGATATGTGGTGGCGCAACACCGTTCTTGCAGTTCGCAAAGCCCTGCAACTCGCAGACCAAGGTGGCAACCGCATCGAACTCGCCGCCATCGGGCTTAGCGGTCAGATGCACAGCTCCGTGTTCCTCGACTCCGATGGCGAAGTCATCAGGCCTGCCTTGCTATGGAATGACGCCCGCACCACTCCACAGCGCCATCACATCATCGATGCCTTGGGACTGCCGGGGCTTCACGGCACGGTCGGCAATTTGCCGCTAGAAGGCTTTACCGCGCCCAAGCTCCTCTGGCTGAAGCAGAACGAACCCGACAACTACGCCCGCCTGCGCACATTGCTACTCCCCAAGGATTACATTCGCTATCGCCTGAGCGGAGACTACGCCACCGAGCCATCGGACGCCGCCGGCACTTTGCTCTTCGACATCAGGCATCGCCGCTGGTCGCAGACGATGTTACAGGCATTAGAAGTGGATGCAGGTATCCTGCCCCGCGTCGTGGAGTCAACAGAGATTTCAGGCGTGGTTACGACCGCCGCCGCTTCCGAACTCGGAATCCACGGGGGCATCCCTATCGTTGGCGGCGGCGCGGACTAACGCCGCCGGCGCAGTGGGTTGCGGCGCAACAGACAGCAGCGTAATGCAGGTGAGCATCGGCACATCCGGCGCTGTGGTGCTCCCCTCTAACGAACCGCATGTCGCCGAAGACATGAACCTGCACACCTTCTGCCACTGCGCGCCCAACCTCTGGTATCTCATGGGCGTCATCATATCGGCAGGCAGCGCTTTACGATGGCTGAGAGACACTATTGCTCCTGAAGCGTCATACGACTCCCTAACGGCAGAGGCGGAGCAGGTCACGCCGGGCAGCGACGGGCTGCTGTTCCTGCCATATCTCAGTGGTGAGCGCACGCCGCACAACGACTCCAATGCGCGCGGCGTCTTCGCCGGGTTGAGCTTGGCGCACGGTCGCGGCCACCTGACGCGGGCGGTCGTCGAAGGCGTGTGCTTCGCAATGCGGGACTCGCTGGAGCTTATGCGCCAACAGGGCGTGTCGCCCAGTGAAGTGCGAGCGATCGGCGGCGGGGCGCGCAGTCGGATGTGGTTGCAAACCCTCGCCAATGTATTCGGACTCCCCCTCGCCACTGTGCAGCCAGCAGGCGGCGCGGCACTTGGAGCGGCCCTCCTCGCGGCAGTGGGATGCGGCATGTTCAGCAGCATCCAGGACGCTGTGCAATCATGCATCAAGACGGGCGATGTCGTGGAACCGGAGGCGAGCCTGACAGCGGTGTATGACGAATTATACGACGCTTATCGCCAACTCTACCCTGCGCTGAAGAGCAGCTTCGCCACGCTCGCCGACATCAACGCGAGGCAACGGCAGTGATTGGCGTGTGCGGTGAGGCGCTCATCGACTTCACACCGATTGACGGAGATGAGAGCCGCGCATACGCGCTGCAACCCGGCGGTTCGCCCTGCAACGTAGCTATCGGACTTGCGCGCCTGCAAAAGCCGACTACATTCATCGGCAAGCTCTCGAATGACCGCTTTGGCGACATTCTCCACGCGCACCTGACACAAAATGGCGTTGACCTGCGCTGGCTGGCGCGTGGCAGCGAATCCACAGCGCTTGCCTTCGTCATACCCGCACTGGACGGAACGCACGACTTCGCCTTCTACGGCAATAGCACGGCAGAACAAAGCCTTTCCGACGCGGATGTTCCCGACACATTCCCCGATAATTTAACAGCCCTGCACTTCGGTTCCTATTCGCTGATGCTGGGCAGCAGCGCGCGGACTTACGAACGCCTGATGTGACCGAGAGTACGGCTCGCGCGTAATCTCACTCGACCCCAATGTACGACCCGGCGCTATTCCCCGACCGTAAGGCATATCGGAAACGCATTGAGAAACTGCTTCATTTCGCCACCTTGGTCAAGGCGAGCGTCGATGACCTCGCATGGCTCTACCCTGGCGAAAGCCATGTCGATACAGCAATGCGGTGGCTTGACGCGGGGCCCTCGGTGGTCGTGGTGACGCTAGGCAGCAATGGCGCAGTCGGCCTGACATCCGATGCTGTCGTGAACAGCCCCGGAGTTCGTGTAAAGGTAGCCGACACTGTGGGCGCGGGCGACGCGTTCATGGCGGCGCTGCTGGCGCGACTGGACGACCGCGGACTGCTTCGCCAGGATGCGCTGGAAACGCTGAGCGAGGATACGCTGGCCGACTCACTGGCATACGCCAATCGGGCCGCTGCGCTTGCCTGCACACGACTGGGTGCGGATCCGCCAACCAAGCGGGAACTCTGAGTGATGAAAGTCGAACCAATGACTGACAAGACATTCCGCCTTACGACGCTGACAATCGCGTGATTGCATCCATCGCCCTGCTTACGTTCGGCTGCGATTTTTTTGGCCAGGGTACGGACATTGTCGGTGCGAACCCTGACTTGCGTGGCCCAAATGGCAACCACCCAACAACCACACAAACAACCCCCCAAAAAAAAAACACACCCACCCCCACACCCCAAACAACACCCCAAACACAAAAAACACCCACACCAAACCAAAACCACCCAACAAAACCACACCCAACACACAAACCACCCCCCACCACACACAAACAACCACCACACCCCAAACAACAACACCACCCAACCCAAACCCCAAAACCAAAACCCAAAACAACACCACACCCCCCACCCCCAACCCCACACCAAAAAAAACAAACAACAACCAAAACCACACCCACACAACCACCCACAACACCAACCACAACAAAACACAACCCACACACAACCAACACCAACCCAAACCACCCACACAACCTAGATGAAGGCGGGAACACACCCTCAAGGTCATAGCAATACGCTGCTGCGATTCTCCAAACCTAAGTCATCGAATTGTTGTGGCACCGGCGAAACCGGAATTAGCGAATTATGAGGGCAGACGCCGCTACATGAGCAATGGTCAGTCACAACTCGCCAGAGATCAAGGACATCATAGAACTTCTGCTAGACTATGGTGTCTTACATCAACGCGTGTGACGCCCAGGGCAATACACCCTTGCACTTGTTAATAGACAATGTTGGAGATAGTGCGCTCCCAGGACGTTCAATATACCCTATCATCGAAATGATGCTAAAAAGAGACGCCGACGTCAACGCAAAGGATAAGGAAGGGGAGACTCCGTTGCATAGAGCGGTTTGGCTCAATCTTTCCTCTCATAAAGCAACTCAGGAGAAACTGGTGTCCGAGATTGTCGAATTGATTCTAAAGCATGGAGCGGACAGTAACGCAGTGACCAATTACGGCATGACCCCCTGTCAGATGCCAAAGAAACATGAAGAGAGCAGCCCAGCCCTGCCATACTTTGCCAATAGCGCCGAACAGATTTCTCCGCTTGACACCGCCGTTCCCCTTACCATATTCTCAGCTTGGGCAGTTCGGCGTAAGAAAACGGACTTGCCAAGCAACAGACCGCATCCACTAACTACTATCGCTGCAGTTGCGAGCACAATTGGAGGATTAGAGCGTATGACCAATCAGGTTAAGGGCGTCATAGCAAGCGCAAGAGGCGAGGCCGTCTCAGTCGAGACGATTATAGTGCCGGACCCAGGTCCCGGAGAGGCGCTCATCAAGGTGCAGGCTTGCGGAGTATGCCATACTGACCTCCACTACCGCGAAGGCGCAATCACCGACGATTTCCCGTTCCTGCTTGGACATGAAGCGGCAGGCACCGTCGAGAAGGTCGGCGATGGCGTTACCAATGTTGAGCCGGGCGACTTCGTCATTATCGCGTGGCGCGCCCCGTGCGGCAACTGCCGCTCGTGCCTGCGCGGACGCCCCTGGTACTGCTTTGACAGCCGCAACGCATCGCAGCCTATGACGCTGGCAGACGGCAGCCCGCTCTCGCCTGCGCTGGGCATCGGCGCATTCGCAGAGCTGACGCTGGTCGCCGCGGGACAGGCGGTCAAGGTCAACCCAGAGGCATCAGCGGCGGCGGCAGGGCTTGTGGGCTGCGGGATAATGGCCGGGCTTGGGGCGGCGGTGAATACGGGTGGCGTGTCGAGGGGCGATTCGGTTGCGGTGTTCGGTGCGGCGGCGTCGGTGATGCTGCAATCGCAGGAGCGCGGCTCGCTGGCGCGCACACGATCATCGGTGTGGACATCGACGACCGCTAAGCTGGAATGGGCGAAAGATTTCGGCGCGACTCACACGATTAACGCATCACAGACCGACCCGGTTGAGGCTATTCGTGGGCTGACCGGCGGCAACTGGGGTCGATGTCGCTATCGAGGCAGTGGGCAATCCCGTCACCTACGAGCAGGCTTTCTACGCCCGTGACCACGCAGGCACCGTAGTCATGGTAGGTGTGCCGGACCCACAAATGAAAATTGAGTGCCCATGATCGAGATTTTCGGCAGAGGCGGCTCGCTCAAGTCATCGTGGTACGGCGACTGCCTGCCCACGCGCGACTTCCCGATTTCATCGACCTTTACATGCAGGGAAGGCTCGATTTGGACAGGTTCGTCTCCGAGACCATAGCGCTCGACGATGTGGAAGAAGCATTCCACAAGATGGAACGCGGAGAGGTGCTGAGGTCGGTCGTACTGCTCTAGATTAAGCATACTCCGCAATGTCGCCAAACAGACTTCTGAGCCGCGCGCTGTCCGCATCCGGCAGGCGCGGCTTTTCCAATGCAGCTATGTTGGCGTTCAAATGTGCCATAGTGGATGTGCCAGTGATTACACTTCCGATGGCAGGGTGGTCTGCACCAAATTTATAAGCAGCACTCACAACGGAATCAACATCGTCATGCACCAGCCAGCCGAGCGGGCTCCTCTGATGGCAAGCTGTCGCGTGGAATGTAGCCCTTATCTTTCCACTCGGCAATCAGATCTGCCAGCAACGCGGGGACCGGTAGCTTGATTCGCACCGACGCCATGTTCAGCACACCGATGTTGTGCTCCATCGCAAGAGGTAGCGCTTCCTTCGCGGCAATCTGGTTCAGGATGCCATACTTGAGCATCACGACATCCCAATTGGCCGCATCGGAGCGGAGCGCGACCGGCAGTATCTCCTGAGCAGGATCCGCAATGTAGCGCGTGCTAAAGCCCTTAAAGCGAATCTTGCCCTGCTCGCGCAGACGCTCCAACGTGGGCACAAAGCGTTCGACCACGGAATCGTACTCGGCCGCCAGTATGCCGTGAATCATCATCACATCCACGTAGTCGGTGTTGAGCCGACTTAGGCTGCGCTCGACCGACGCGCTGAAGGCGGTGGCATCCTGCCCTTCACCACCGTCGCGGTGATACGCCCACTTGGTTACGAGATAGTAGGAATCCCTTGGTACGCCACGCAGCGCCTCGCCCAATAACTGCTCGCTGCTGCCATACGCCTCGTGCGTGTCGAAGAGGTTGATTCCCAAGTCGAGGCAACGGCGAATAAGCGCAGTCTGCTGCTTCTGCTCCAAGCCTTTATGCTGACCGAATTGACTGGGACCACCTGTGCCGAAACTCGCAAGCGAGACTTTCAGGCCGGTCTTGCCGAGTGTGCGGTATTCCATGCCAGATTCCCCCGGTTTCTATATCAGGCGTCCAGTTCGCGTATCTGACGCGCGAATATGTAGAAGACGATGGCGAAGGCAGTTGCGATGAGTCCCATAGCGGCGAGTGCGATTGAGATCGAGGTGATTCTGGCGAACCAGCCTATTGCGAAGCTTGCGACGAGGACTCCACCCATGCTGTAGCGTTGCAGGCTGGTTACGCGGCTTCGCATGTCATCGGAGACGAGCAATTGCATAAGTGTACCGTTGGTCGTCCTGAACGCTGTCTGTGTCGTAGCGAAAGAGCATAATGAGGAGGAACGCCAGTGGCAGGATAATCGCGTGAGAGAAGAGAAGTATAAAGACGGAGCTTGCCAGCGCGCAGACAAGCACAATCATCCCTTTCTTAAATACGAAGCCGAAAGATGCGATGAACAGTGCCATCAGCAGACCGCCCAAAGCCATTAATCGCCAGGAAATAGCCGCCCACATCCGCGCCGCGCTTGAGTATCTCGTCTGTGAAGACGGGCAGAAGGAACATTGCCGGCTGAAGTATTGTATTCGGGATGAAACCCAACATAGTCAGGTAGAGCAAAACGCGCTTGTCCTTCCAGACATATGTAAAGCCGCCGAGCAGGTCGGACAGGAATGACGGATTGCCAGTGCCCCTCCTAACACGCGCGTAGGGCGTCTTTATTGGCAGAAAGACTATGACAGTGCCCAGGTACAGCAACGCCTCAAGCGTGAAGTTCCAGAAGAAGCCGAGCGTGGTTATGAGGATGCCACCGATGAAGGGGCCAATCATGCGCGTGCCGGGTATAGTGAGCACGTTTGTCGCGAAGGCATGCGCCATCGCGTGCCGCGGTACGGTGTTGGCCACAAGAGCCATACGGCTGTTCTGGCTGATGGACACGCATGTACCGCTAACGAAGACATAAATGTATGCGTGCCAGACCGTCACGAGTTGCTGTCCCACCAGCACAGCAAACAGGAACGAAAACACCGCCATGAAGGTCTGAATGCCTATGACTAGTTTGCGCCTGTCCATACGGTCGCCGAGAGTCCCTGCAATGGGCGCCATGATCAAGCCGGGCAGCAAGCTCATTCCACCCACCGTCACTACGAATAGCGTAGATGTTGATGAGCCGGATGTGAGGCCCCGTACAAGCCAGCCCACCGACAACAGCTGCAACCACTGAGCGTTGTTTGAGAAGAAATTGCCTATCCACAAGTAGCGATAATCTGGGTAAGCGAAGGAGTCAAAAGTTCGCAGGCGCGGGATGCGTATCGTGAAGCGTTGCCTGGGAGGTGTCCCTATCGCCGGGACCTGCTCGCCCGGCGTGTTCGATGTGCTCATGGTTTATGCGTCTAACTCGCGTATCTGATTGGCGAAGAACCAGAAAACAAGTCCCAGCGCAATGCCCACCAGCCCCATCACCGTCAGCGCGATTGAGACGGAGGTGACGCCTGCGAACCAACCGACGATCAAGCTGAAGATTACGACGCCGCCCATGCTGTAGCGCATCAAACTCATGACCCTGCTGCGCATCTCGTCAGGGGCTATGAGAGTCATCAGCGTTACCGTAGCGGTCCTGAAGGCCGTCTGGCTCGGCGCGAACACCATTATCAAAAGAAACGCAAGTGGCAGTAAGAAGGCATTCGCGAATAACAGAATGACGACAGAGCTGATGATTGCCGAAATTAGCACAATCTTACCCTTGGGGAAGATGAAGCCAAAGGATGCGATGAACAACGCCATCAGCAAACCGCCCAATCCCGTTGATTGCGACGAGGTACCCGCCGACATCGGCTCCCTGCTTCAACACCTCACTTGTGAACACAGGCAGCAGGAACATCGCAGGTTCCAGGATCGTGTTGGGAATGAACCCCAGCAGAGTAATGTATAGCAGCACTCGCTTATCTTTCCAGACATAGGTGAAGCTCTCGATCAGGTCAGATAGGAAAGAGGTTTCAGCTTGGGCCTTCCTGCTGCGCTGCGTATATGGCGTCTTCATTGGTAGGTATGCGATCACAGTGCCGACATAGAGAATCGACTCAAGTGTGAAATTCCAGAAGAAGCCCAGAGTTGTTATCAGGATACCGCCGACGAACGGACCGATCATGCGCGTTCCCGGAATGGTGAGGACATTGGTGGCGAAAGCGTTCGCCATTGCCTCACGAGGCACGGTGTTGGCTATCAGCGCCATACGGTTGGTCTGTGTAATGGACAGGCAGATGCCACCAAGGAACACATACAGGTACACATGGAACACGGACACAAGCTGCTGCCCGACCAAGATGGCGAACAGGAAGGAGAGGATTGCCATGAAGCACTGTATGCCAATTACCAGCTTGCGACGGTCTAGCCTGTCGCCGAGCGTGCCTGCTATGGGCGCCATCGCAAGACCGGGCAACATTGCCATTCCGCCGACGGTCACGACAAAGAATGTGGAGTACGGGGAGTTCGTAGTAAGGCTTCGCACCAGCCAGCCGGCTGTGAGCATCTGAAGCCACAGCGCATTGTTAGAGCAGAAGTCTCCCACCCACAACAAGCGAAAATTTGGATACGCTCTCAGGGAGTCGAGAGTCTGGAGGCGCGGTATCCGTATTCTTCTCGAGGCAACCGGCTGTCCAGTTCGCTGAGTAGTGGATGATTGACCTCCCACCGTCTCCGGTGTGCTCATACGGCCCACTGCTCGATGGCTGCTGGATCAAGCTCAAGCCCCAGGCCGGGCCTGTCTGGATAGGGCGCCCACATGCCATCCTGCTGTTGAGGAAATTCCGTGTACCACTGACGATCACCCTCAAGTCCCGTGTTCATGTACTCGACAACCTTGAGGTTCGGCGTAGCGCAGGCGAGGTGCAGGTGTACGAGTTGCACCGCGTGGGGCGCAACCGGCAGGTTGAATGCATGGGCCAGATGTGCCACCTTCATCCACTCGGTAACGCCGCCAACCCTACCCACGTCGGGCTGTACAATGTCCGCGCCGCCCGCGGCTATGAGTTCACGAAACCCGTGCTTGGTGTACTCATGCTCACCGGTGGCAACCGGGATGTTGATGGCGTGACTTACTTCGGCCAGCCCCTGAATGTCGTCAGCAATAAGTGGCTCCTCGAACCAGCCCACCTGATATTGTTCGAACTCGCGCGCCATATATATGGCCTGCTTGGGATAGTAACCGTTATTTGCGTCTATGTAGATCGCGACATCGTCACCCAGCGCTCTGCGGACCGCGGCGAGGCGCTGGATGTCCTCACGCTCCGACTGTCCGAAGTCCTTGCCGACCTTCATCTTGACGCGGGGAATGCCCTGCTCCACATAGCCCGCCATCTCGGCAATCAGTTCTTCCTCGCTAAAGTTCGTCCATCCGCCGCTGCCGTAGATTGGCACTGATTCCTGGTAGGGGCCAAGCAGCTTGAACAAGGGGATGCCCAACGCCTTAGCTTCAGGTCCCACAGTCCGATGTCCACGGCGGAGAGGGCGCAGAATGCGACGCCCTTGCGCCCATAGCCGCGCACATGCCAGAACATGTCGTTCCACAGCTGCTCTATGTTAAACGGGTCTTTGCCTATAAGAAGATTGCGGAATCCATCCTCGACTACCTGCCGCACACCGGGTGACGACTGCCCAATGCCAAGCCCTTCAACTCCTTCGTCCGTGTGAATGTGGACAAAGAGTTGACCTCTGCCTCCTGCGCCCGGTGGCGAGTGTCGGAATTGTTGCGTCCTGAATCGGCCTCGAGTGGGGATAGAAGAGCTGCGTTGTGGTGATGTCAACAATCTTCATCTGATGCTAGGCTCCGCTGTGAATTTTTCTGGACGCGAACACAACGAAGTATATCATTATAGAGCGCGAGGTATCAGACCAATCTTCGCCAGTAAGTTTCGGCTGGCCTTGCGTCACTCGCACTTGACCGCGCGCGCTCAATCACCTGATAATGGCTAGGACTGAATGAACGCAATAACGGCGCCTATACGCTATTGCAAAGGCGTCAATCGAAAGGAGCAAAAATGGCAGATATTGGATTCGTGGGGCTGGGCATCATGGGCAGGCCTATGGTGCGAAACTTGATGGCAGCCGGCAACACCGTAACCGTGTACGACATCGTCGGGACGGCCATAGAGGAGATGGCGACCGAGGGCGCAATTCCCGCATCGTCTTCCAGCGAAGTCGCCTCGAAGAACCCCCTGATAATCACTATGGTACCCGACTCAGCAGATGCTGAAGCGGCCATCCTCGGCGCAAATGGCGTACTGGAAGGCGCTTCGTCCGGCTCGATCGTCATCGACATGAGCTCGATAGCTCCCGCATCATCGCAGAAGATTGCGGCGGGCTGCGAGGGTCAAGGCGTGGACTTCCTCGACGCACCCGTCAGCGGCGGCGAGCCTGGCGCAATCGCCGGAACGCTCGCCATCATGGTAGGCGGCAAGAAGGATGTCTTTGATAAGTATGTGGATGTGTTCGCGCCGATGGGCAACTCCACATACTGCGGCGATTACGGTGCAGGCAACACCACAAAGCTCGCCAACCAGATTATCGTCGCCATCAACATCGCCGCCGTAGGCGAAGCGCTCGTCCTCGCAAAGAAGGCCGGACTCGATCCCAACGTAGTCTTCGATGCCATCAAGGGCGGCCTCGCTGGCAGCACCGTGCTCAATGCCAAAGCTCCGATGATGATCGAGGGCAACTTCAACCCCGGCTTCCGAGTTCGCCTGCACCAGAAAGACCTGAACAACGCCTTGCAGACAGCGCACGAACTCAGCGTTCCTCTGCCCTTCACCGCCTTGGCGCAGCAGATTATTGGCTCGCTCATGAACGAGGGCAAGGGCGACGCCGACCACTCTGCCATCGCCAACTTCATAGAGGACATGGCTGGAACGAAAATAAGCGGCTAGAAAGTGGTGGCATGAAAATAGTCATCCTGAACGGCCCAAACCTGAACATGCTCGGCAGACGGGAGCAGTCCTACTACGGCGTCAAGACTCTTGACGACATCGAAGAACTCGTCGCTGAAAAGGCGCGCGAACTCGAAGTCGAGACCGAGTTCTACCAGTCTAACCACGAGGGCGCACTGGTGGACTACTTACAGTCATTGACGCCCGACGTCGAGGGCATTGTGGTCAACGCGGGCGCAATCACGCATTACGGCATATCGCTGCGAGACGCGCTAATAGACTCACGTCTGCCAATTGTCGAGGTTCATCTGTCCAACATACACGCCCGCGAAGAGTTCCGTCGGCACTCCGTCATTTGCCGACATCGCGCAGGGACAGATTGCCGGTCTCGGCTGGCAGGGTTATCTCTTCGCCCTTGAATACCTCGCAATCAACCTCAAACAGACCTGAAGCTAAAGGGGATCGCATGAGCCTGAAACTGCAAAAGTTGCGCCAGCAAATCGAAGGGGAAGAGCTTGACGCAATCCTTATCTCCGCACCTGAAAATCGCCGGTATATGTCGGGTTTCGCAGGATCGGCTGGCTGGTTGCTCATATCGCCCGACGATGCCACTCTTGCCACCGATTTCCGCTATGTCGAGCAGGCAGGTAATCAGGCGCCCGACTTCAGCATCTATCGCATTCAGCGTGGACTCGGCTGGTTCCCAGAATGGACGGCAGAGCATGGCGTAAAGCGAATCGGCTTCGAGAGCCAAGACGTAACCGTCTCAGTGCACAATGCATTCCTCAAGGCAATCGAAGAAGCTGAAGACTCCAACAACCCCGAACTCGTCCCCACCTCCGGAATCGTCGAGAAGCTTCGCGTCTTCAAAGACGCCGACGAACTCGCGCTACTAACCGAGGCAATCCGCATCGCGGACGAGGCAATCGACGAAATTGCGCCCCGCATTGAGCCCGGCATCACCGAAGAAGCCGTCGCATGGGAGCTCGAAAAGGCTATGCGGGAGCGCGGCGCCGAGATGATTTCCTTCGACACTATTGTCGGTGCTGGCGCAAACGGCGCGCTCCCCCATCACCGCGCAGACGAGACTGTTATCAGGCAAAACGACGCAATCGTCATCGATATGGGCGCGAAGTACCAGGGTTATTGCAGCGACCTCACGCGCACGGTATTTGTTGGCGAGCCGGACGACAAGTTCCGCAAGATATACGACATCGTGCTGCAAGCCCAACTCGCCGCCGAAGAGCAGGTTACGGCGGGCATGACAGGCAAAGAGGTGGACGCCATCGCACGCGACATCATCGCCGACGCAGGACACGGCGACGAATTCGGACATAGCCTTGGGCACGGCGTTGGCCTCGCCGTCCACGAATACCCCCATGTCGGCCCGACCGCCGAAGACGATGTACTGGAAGACGGCATGGTCTTCACCATCGAGCCGGGCATCTACCTTCCGGGGTGGGGCGGCGTCCGCATCGAGGACATCGTTGTCCTCGAAAACGGCAAGGCTCGCGTCATCAGCAAGGCAAAGAAGCTCTAACCGACTGACAATCACTACCTAAGGAGTCCTCATATGACCGTCAACTACGGCGAGCTGCGGAAGGGCATGGCCATCGAGATGGACGATGCCCCATACATCGTGCTCGAATACGAACAGCGCAAGATGCAGCAACGCGCTCCTACTATGCGCATTAAGTTCCGCGCGCTTATTACGGGCAGACAAGTCGAGCGATCCTTCTCCGGCTACGATGTTGACTTCAAGCTTGCTGATGTGGAACGGCGTTCCGCCCAGTACATTTACGAGGACGACAACCTCTACTACTTCATGGACACCGACACTTACGATCAGTTCCCGCTGTCCTCAGACCAGATTGCCGACGGACTGCAATTCCTTGTCGAGCAGATTGAAGTTGACCTAGTGCTGTACCGCGAAAACCCCGTCGCAATCGAACTGCCAATAACTGTGAATCTGGAAGTGACTGAGACGGTGCCCGGTGTGCGCGGCGACACCGCTCAAGGCGGCACCAAGCCTGCCACTCTTCAGACGGGGTTGGTGGTGCAGGTGCCTCTGTTCGTAACCCAAGGTGAGATGATCAAGGTGGACACACGCACCGGCCAATATCTTTCCCGCGCATAGCGACTGCTAATGGCTACAATCTACTCCGTCTCACAGCTCTCGTCTTACACCAAGCAGACCTTGGAACGCGACAGCGTGCTTCAGGACCTGTGGGTCGGAGGCGAAGTCGCCAATCTTGCCCGTCCTGGTTCGGGGCACGCATACTTCAGCATCAGGGATGGCAAAGCGACCATGCGCTGCGTCATGTTCCGCAATTCGCGTGGCATGCATTACCTGGACAACGGCGCAGCCATCATACTTCACGGGCGAATCTCAATCTACGAACAGCGCGGCGACTTGCAGGTCATCGCCGATATCGTCCAACCCGAGGGCGTCGGCGAGCTTCAATTGAAACTGGAGCAGCTCAAGCTGCAGCTAGAACAGCAGGGCCTTTTCGACGAGTCGCGCAAACGCACGCTTCCCCAATTCCCTAAGAAGATTGCGGTCGTAACATCACCCACCGGTTCCGTATGGCACGACATCCAAAACGTGATACGACGCCGTTATCCACTCGTCGAGCTTGCCATCGCGCCCGCTCCCGTGCAGGGCGAGGATGCTGCACCTGCAATCGCCGAGGCCCTGCAAGCGGCTGGCGATGAATCGGGCGCTGACATCGTTATTGTCGCGCGCGGCGGAGGTTCGCTCGAAGACCTGTGGGCATTTAATGAGGAAGCCGTTGCGCGAGCGATATTCGCTTGCCCCATTCCGGTCGTCAGCGCAGTCGGCCACGAGACTGATTACACCATAGCTGACTTGGTAGCGGATCTGAGGGCTCCCACGCCATCCGCCGCAGCCGAACTTGTGGTTCCCGACAAGGTAGAGTTGATCGCATTCGCATTAGGTGCGGCGCAGAGTATGGATGCTTCAATTTCGCGCCAACTCACATCTGGCATAGACGCCGCAAGCCAACTCGAAAGACGCCTTCACAACGCCCTGCCTGACCTGGACATGTTAAGGCTGCGAATCGACGATCGCCTCAGGAGCGCACGCCAGATGCTGATGCACATGCTCCGTCTCAACTCGGAGCGAACGCAAGGACTCAGGCTTCGTCTTGATTCGCTCAGCCCCCGTGACACCCTACGGCGCGGCTACGCTATCGTGCAGCGCACGGATGACAGCAGCGTAATCAGCGAACATACACAAGCATCCGCTGGCGATCCTATCAACATTACGCTCACAAACGGCATAATTGAGGCGGAAGTTACGTCCACAAGAAACGGGCAGCAGGAGCGATAATGACGGACACTAACGCCAACGGACTAGGCAGGGAATTGGGCGATCTGACATTTGAGCAGGCTTTGGAACGCCTTGACAGCACAGTGCAGGCGTTGGAATCGGGCGGCCTGTCCCTCGAAGAGGCGACACGGCTCTACGAAGAAGGCATCGGGCTTGCGCGGATGTGCAGCGAGGCTCTTGCATCCGCTGAACTCCGCATCACACGAATCCGTACAGCGCACGGAGAGCAGATGCGATTCCTCGCAGAAGACTCTGCTGGCTACGAGGCGTCTCCTTGCTGAAGCTTGTCAGCAAGGGCATTCGCACCGTGAGCGTCCGTCTTCGCACGCAGGGCGCCCGCACCACAGCTCTTTGGGCTTACGCGCGCGGGATCCCCAAAGTCACGGGCGTCCCACTGCTCGAATACAGCCGCGTCACCGATTCGCTCTACGTGGGGCCACAGCACCGCGCCAACGGCAGTC